TGTGGTTAGCATGCAGAAGTTAGCATTTAACTCAAAGCGCCGCTGTGCAGCTGCACAGAGCTGGCTGAAACCTTTAGTTTTAGCACACAAGCAAGTATGCACGCGTCACAGCCGCTAGTCTATATGATTGAGTTCTTATAAAACAACTATATAGGCACTATAACTATAGCACAAAGTAGCACAACTTTCAAAGAAACTTCTTAAACCACTGCTGCAGCATGTTGGACAGGTGCATCTCTAATAATTAAAATAGCGTTCAAAAGTTCATTTTCTTCTGGAATTTAATTATAAAAGTGAAACTTTCATATAAATTGTTTTAATCTTGATGATTACGGCTTACAGTTCATGGAAATCTAAACTCCAGTATCTCAAAATGTATTAGAATTTTAGAATAAAGAATTTAAAATATGGAAATGTCGTCCTGAGAAGAGCTCTAATCAGCTAATTAACTCAAAACACCTGCGAAGGTTTCCTGAGCCTTTAATATCTCTCTAAGTCTGGTTCTGGTGCTCCCAATGAACTTTTTCACAAGATTCAACTTTTTTGAGATGCACCTTCTCCCGTGCCCATCTGCACAGTCAGTATGTTGACGCCCATGTTGCTTGCAAGCTAGAAGTCTATTAAGCTAGAAGAAAAGCAGCAAAATTGATTATGCTGCCAGTATGGTTTGCGAACTTCCTTCTGGACTTTTGATTTCACTGTCTCTAATTATTTTTCCACTCTGAAAACGTGTCACAATTTGAATTTATTATTATTATTTATTCAAGCAGACTGCAGAGTCTATTCCCTAATGAAAAGCAAAATACAAACCTTTAACGGCATTTAATAAGCTAACAGAGAAATCCAAACATGAGATTTTTGGTGATATATCACTCTTAAGTTCACCTGTAGAGTTCTTCTGTATCTTGTAGTGGGTTTTTTTGTTGTATGAATCATATTTCATCAGTTCCTTTTATTTTCACATTTTTATTTATTTTAATTGTGCACATTATTAGTAAAAATGTATAGTCTTGAATCTAGCAGACTGATAACCTAAAAACATCCTGAAAGTATTGAAGCAATAACAGAAGCAGTTCCATGCAGTTCACAAGTCCTCTCAGTAATAACTCAGCCTCCTTTAGCGCAACTTTGCACCAGGCTGCTACCGTCATCATTATTGGCTGTTTGTCTCCACAGATCTGGGATATGACGCAGGTGGTTGGCTGTAGCTTAGCAACAGGCTTCTCTCCGCGCTGATTGGCCCAGCCCACTACATGGTCAGGCCTCCTCAGTGCTCCACCCACTCTTCCAATGTCATGGAAACCCCTCTGTACAGTATATCTTCCCATCATGCCTGGGATCTTCAGCTGCGCCCAGGCCTGCTCTTAGTGAATGTGCGAGCGTGTGTGTTTGTGCGTGTGTTCACAGTGCAGCCCCTCAGCATTCCTTTTGCTCCTCTTAACAAATTTGTTTTTAACTTCACTAACGTTCAGTCCCACATGAAAGCGTGTGTGACAGATTTTTGACTTTTTGCTCTGATCCAAAACAGAACCCTAAGCACAACGGTGTGTGTGTACATGTGTGCATGTCACGTAATGATTTCTCCAATGGGAGGAATGGTATTAATATCTGTGTTTACATTATATTAAAATTTCCAATGCTTCTTTTGACCAAGGTCATTTTTATTACCCTATGCTGTAAAGTCAGGTTTCACTAAATCACTGACCTGCCATTCCTGTAGAAAGATATACGAGCTTGTTCATTTCTGTGGCCCACTAACTGCATTTTGCTCAGTCACTGTAACTTGTAAAAGGAAAAAAAAACATACATCTGTATATAGCCATGCATCAGTAGATAGTTGCTTGAAATGGCTCTCACTGATCAAAGTGATCAGCTTTTTCTGTCTATACTCCTCTTTTTCAGTTTTGTTTCTTTCACTAGTTGGCCTTAAATCACTCTCAGGAGGTTTTACATCAGTACGTTGTCACAGGGCGGGGCTTTCCTGTCAGTCGTAACCATTACTACCATTATGTGTAATCACTCAAGCACGGTAATAAAATCAATAGAACTGCCTCTTTCTTAATAGATGAAGGAAATCTCTCGACACCCTCAAAGATGCTGCCGTAGAAAATTTGATGTCCTTGTCAGATGTTTGCATGACGCAGCCCGATGAGGCACGGGAAATTGGGATATGTTGCTGTAGAAACATGCTCTGATGGCGTCAAACAGTGTGTCGCCGCCGTCCTGAGGCGCTCCAGTACAATTACAATTCTAGGCTAGTGTGGCCTTGTGATCGTTTCAGCTTTATGGCATTGTGTCTCCAACTTTATTTGGGTGAAAACAAGTTTAAAAAATAGCACAGCATCACCGCCTCCTAGATAAGATGGTATCATAAAAAAAAAATAAATTGTGATGCAAAATTGGATTTCCTCCAGCCAGAAAGGCACTTAGGTACTGGATAGGTACTGTAAACTAAATGTAGCACTAAATGCTAGCGTGTTGAACCGTCCCCAGCTAAATCGTGGGTCAGATCAGGGCTGCCTGCGTTCCTTCAAAAGCCTTATAGAGGGGACACGCTCACAAAGCCTTTTTTTTATTAGTGGTTTGTCAGTGCTTATGACTGTTCACTCGTGCTCATTCACTCTCATGCACTCACCTCGTTATAAAGCTCTGGATGTCCTGTTAGCGTTTTCTTTTCATCCTGCTTTTTCAAATTCTGTTCTGAGCGCTTCCACTTTTCCCACGCATCTGTGTATCAAAGATGTCTCATTACGCTCTCACCACTGCGGTGAATTGCACAACACGTGGTCTTTGACTTTGAATTAAACAAAGCATTTTTGTAAGTTCACATTTGGGAGGGGTAATAGCTGGATTCAATGTAGCGTCCTTGTAAATAGTGGCTAGGATCTTCTAATGCTAGACTAACGCTTGCCTTATTGTAAGTGGAAAAATGAGCATTATAGTGTTGGAATTTACTGATTTCAAAATGTAGTCACATTCCAGTTTTTTGATCATGTAGTGTATATTTGTAGTAAAGTATTTATCTGTTACCATTGTAAATGGTTGTTTACTTTTCTTTGTGCCCATCTAGTCTTTGCTTCCTTTTAATAACAAAATACAACATGTTAAACCATCTTCATTGAGGCACATGCAAACTCAGTAACAGCGAGATAGATTGCAGGGTCAGATCATGAAGCAATTTACATCCTAACAAGGACCGAGATTGACTGGCTGATCAGCAGTGGTTGTCATGTGAGTGCAATTGTTACTCATCATCAAGACTGTACTCCATGATATTTACCCAATCATACTTGGGGTTAGACTGAAAGCTCATACTGATCAATTTGTCAGAAGTCGATATTTAGCATTGATATTCCTTTTTGTTGTTTCCCGCCAAAAAAAGGAGCCTATAAAGACAGGATTGTTTTGTCTTGAGTGCACGCGAGCTGGAAGCTCGGGGATAAAACATGCCTTAAATTGTTCCTCATAAGTATCAGGGGAAAAAATAGCTGTTATTTTTGGGGGGGCCGGTTGGGTACAGCCAAACAACCTGAAAACACAACATTGTCATATCACTTGAAGGTGAATGTGTAATCAAGCAGTCACCTATTTAAACGACATGGAGCAACATTAGCTTAACTCTGCTGGCTCACAATACCAAAATAATTAGCTACAAAAATAGCTTAGCAGAGCTTTAAGTAATTGGAAAGAGTAAATAAAATGAAGATGTTAAAGCTGCAAAAAAGTGATGGATTTTCTGTTGGCCACTCAGGGGTTGTGGACCAGGCTGTAAACACAACATTCACATGCTTTCGCTTGATAAAGTTGTTGGGGCAAACACATGCAGGCAAACAGCACATTCTGAGTGAAATATCTGACTCTTGAGCTGCTAAATGCTTTAATATGTTCACCAGCCAGTGGCTAACCTTGTCTGTCAGCCATGTCGTGTTGAGCAGGTAGCGAACAGTGGGTTCATCCGGGCCTTTTCGTTAAAAAACAGCTGCTGCTGCTGCTGGAAACATGGCTGATAATAGATGGAAGGCTCAACCAAAACACAGAAGGTGTGTGCCATGAAACTGCAAAAACATGAAACGCTCTGAGTCATTCTCTGGTGATGTCACCACAGTGACCCATTATTACAGGTAATCATTTGATCCAATCAAAATATTGATTAGAGCAGCTTTTTTTTGCATGTTAGCTGAACTTTTTCATGTTGTTATGAACTGAAAATAAAATTTTCAGTTCATCGCCAGTATTGGCTAACTGATTTAGTGTCATTACAAACTCATGTCACAAAGCGTCATCAGGGATCTACAGGGTTATTGGCGATGCTACCGTACAATCAGGAGTCCGAGCTCTCCTTTCAGTTAACTGGACATTGAAGCTTCTTCCAGTCATTACTTCTTATCGTGTCCTTGTAACAGATTGCGTTTGATGATTTGATGGCTCTGGAAGCTAAACTCCATAGCAGATGGACAAGATGTTTAAGGTACGACGGATGGCAGGATGTGCTGTTAGCAGAAACCGCTAATGAAATAGATGTTCAGATTGCCAGCCAGTCGCAGGAAGGAAGGAATAGATTCATGTTGTTAATGGTTTATTATTTTGGTTTTGTATTCTTCAGTTCATCTAACACTAAAATGGTTGGCCTTCATGTTGATGGGAGGCCACATCAACACTAAAGATGACTCATTTTCCACAACACCATGGCCCATAATCTCAAACTCTGTGAACTGATTTCTGTTTGGTTTGACTTTTTTTCTCTTCAGACATAATGTTCTTAATGTATATCTCAAAATAATTGTATTTTTAAATAATTTTGTTGACAATACAGTACAGAATTTAGTCCCTCTGTGTCCTGGTTTGACAGCATAGAGAGGCTAAAGAATAAATGCATAATAAAGATATTCTGATATGTTTATTTGACTCTTTGTGTGTTTTTTTTATTTATTATTTTTTTTTTTCTGGAGAGTTTTTGTATGAATTGAATTGAAGTGGAACTCAACAGCACGAGACAATAATCGGAGTCATTTTCTTTATTCAAGCAGGCATTTACAAGATAACTTCAAGCCACAGTCACAGTCCGTAAAAGGCCTTGTTAAAGGTGCTCAGCAGATATTACTGGATCATAAATAAGTAGGTTTTATTGCTCATGTCAGGTGGTGCTGCTGTGTGGTGTATTCAAGCCACACCGCTTATAAAGAGAGCACTTCATCTCCAGCCTGAGCTCAACCTGCACAGAACAGAAGCTGCACTACAACATAGCAAATACAATAAACAATAAAGTTACTTACATAGCTGTGTAATACACAACACATGGCACGTTTGTAAGTCGACAAGACACGAGGATGACATCGAAACCCATAGCTGGTGTTGTGAATTAATAATGCAGGGTGTGTGAGTGACTTTGGTCACATCAGATTCCCATCTGATTGACAACTTTCATAAAGTCACAGTAACAGACTGGGATGTTTGTGTGGTTTATGAAGGTGCTCACTCTATCAGAAAGATAACATCCTTTGAAAACTCATTTAAAGGCATCTTCACTATCAAACACTCGTTACATTTTTAGTCCATATAAAGTTGAGCTCACAAATAGGAAAATGTGTTACCATATAAATAGTTCCCTCGATTATAGGTGAGTTTAATCTGTCATCGTAAGGCTGGGTGTCCCAACACACATTTTAGAACTCACAGTATATCTTCATATTTTCCCATTTTAAGGTAGTGACCAAAGGTAGCATTAACACTCCTAATGCTTTGGATAAAATGGCCCCAGATCTGTTCCTTCTCCTGGAGTGTATTATGTCATCGGGTGGATGAAATACTGAGCCCAGCCTCGGTCAGTATGAACGGATGGTGTTAGTGTGGTGTACTGCCAGCCAGTCCCTGCTGTCTCAGTGTGGCTGAAACGTCTTGGCCAAGTCCTCCAGCACAGACATTAACTTCTGCTCCTCCAGGGGAGAGCTGTGGGTCCAGGCCAGCGGCAGGTGGGTGGACACCATATTTCGGTCTGTGCACACAACACACAAATACATATTAACATCTAAAGGTGCGTACATGGAGGAACTGTCTATCGACCAGAGGACAAGTGTCAGAGGTTTGTTTAAAAGGCAGGAAAGGCCAAGCGCATGTCCAGGCATCAGCCTGCTACTTTAAAAGGAGATTGGTTGAAGAAATGCAAACCCTGGATTCCTTTTCTGTCCTCATCCCCGATGGCAACAGCCCGGCATCTCTCATGACACATGATTCGAGTTCGTTTTTTTTTTAACGTTTTGACATGTTCCCATTATGAGATGATGTAGTGGTGACAGTGCTACAGCTCTGATGGTGTTGACTGAAAGGATTGAACAGCCTCATGTGCTGGTGTGACAGTCCACTGTCACAAAAGCCTCACTTGTGGTTTATAGGTGTGAACATCTCCCGACAGCCCGCAGTGTGGTACAAAAACATTTTTAGAATTCTGCCTACAGCAGGCAATATAATATTTAAGACTTTTGTGAATTACATTTAAGACAAATGTCTTAATACCTATTAAGGCCTTTTTGGAGGAAACCAAATTCAATGCTTTTGAACACTGAAATTTGGTGTGTGAAACTACAAACAAAAAAACAACAATTTGAACATTTTTATTAAGCTTTTATTTAGGTTGTGTTCACACTCCAGCTGGACGTGTCCCAGTTCAGATTTTCCCTCACTTGCGAGATGGCTCTGATGTTTAATCAGTGTGAAGAGAAATTAATTTGTCCAGTTTTGATCTGGAGATGTACACGTCCCAGGTCTTCAACTTGCGTAGGAATGCCAGAATCAAAATTGGTCATTGTTGCCACGATAGTAGTCTTGTTGACAGCTGTCACAATTTTGGCACCTAAAGCAGTTTGGCTGAGCGAGTGTTGACATGAGATAAAGCCAAACAGACAGCTTAACTGGTATTTGGGGAAACACCTCACATATGAAGGCTTATCCTGCAACTAAATCCATACAGACTCTTCTGTTAGCAGAAAACATGTCTTCTCTATGTCACTTTCACTTCATACTAGAATTACATAAATGGCATAAGTACTGAAAGTAGCAACCTAAAATAAAATTAAAATAAGACGCCCGACATAACTGCGTCATATTGCGTCACATCAATAAATGAATGCGGTGTGTTTGTGTCTGTTGAAGTGTGCTTTTCGTATTAGGCTACAGGCTGCCTCTTCAAGGCTGCTAGGGTCATTGTGTGTGTTCATAGGAGCACTGTACTCTCTGGCAGTATCTGGCACCAAAAGCAGCCCACTCCAGCTGCAATGGACACAGGCCAAACCCTCACACACACACACACACACACACACACCATGCCGACCCACAACTGACAAACACATAATTTAGCCAATATTGTTCCCTTTCTTTTCTTTCCCCTTTTTTACTGTTTTTGCTATCTTGGCGTACTGAACTTTTTTTTTTTTTTTGTATTGTAATGCCTCTTTTGTGAAACAATTTTCTTAACTCATAAATCTCTAAGAGATAAGTGGGTGAATGAAAACGACAAAGATTTCTTCAGTTTTGCAACATACCCTGGTAGAAACGTCCGCTGGGGTTTGTGGTTGCAACCTCAGAGATAGCCAGCCAAATCACAGTGTCAGCCCCCTGCTCTGGGGTCCGAAGACTGTCCTTCATAGACCTATGGAAGTCTGGCATGGCATTGGCCACCGCTGGGACAGACAGACAGACAGACGTAGAGAGGGAGAAAATCAAAGATTAGAAGTATTAGGAGGCAATATAAGGGACGCTTCTTTTGAATAAAGAATGATTTTGTTAAATTTGTCCAAAAAGTGGTTGCTTTTAACTCTTAGTGTTGTGCATATATGTGAGCAGGCGGTACCGGGAGTGTCAACCCAGCCGGGATGCATGACGGAGAAGTGGACGTTAGTGTGAGTCTTCGCCAGCTGCTCTGTCATCACCACCTGCTGCCTCTGGAACACACACAGACGTAAACAAACGTGTCTTAGAGAGATTCTGTGCGGTGATGAGGGTTGGACTAAACAGGTGAACCTCACATGTCTTTGACATGTCAGTGTCACTGACACACATCATGATGCTTCACATTTCAATTTTTCCACGTAAAACACATGAAATAGACACGGAGGCATCCAGACTCTTGTGTTCATTATTTGATGAATCACAGGTCTCTGTGACATCATGCAAAATAAGATTTAGCTGACTTAGATAATAACATTCATGCAGATTTCTATGGAATTTGGTCAAAATGTGACACCGCCATCGATGCCATTCATCTGAGTACTCCTTGTAGTACTTATGAATGCTACTGTCAGTATCTAATCAGAAACCCTGCACCATATACTTAATTTATATCAAAGATGAACAAAATACTTTAGTATCTGATCAATAAATGATCAATGAATAACAAAAGTCTCTACTCTGCTGCAATAGCTACTGCAAACTGCAATTATCCAACCTGCATTTTGATCATGTGTGATACACTTACCAATAGACATCTTTCTATAATACATTTTACATGAAAATACATTTTATATGTCTTGTCTGTTTCCTGGCAAACTCAGAGGTCATGAGGACGGTAAAGCCTGACAGCCCATCAGTCATACACTTTGCTGTGTCATCAGCAGGTTTCAAGCTCAAGTCTTACTTTGTGTTGGGCGTAGACCATGGTGCCGTCATAGCGGCCTCTCTCAGACTGCAGGTTTCCTGTCCTGAGCTTCTGCACCAACATCCCCCCTGATGACACTGTGATCTGAACACGGACGAATGGAAACAGGGGTGGAGGGAGTTGTAGTTACTAGTTACATTGCATATGATGATTTTACATACAAAACTATAATAAAATATGATACATTTGAATAGATTAAACTACCAAACTGTACATAGTGTTACAAAGTGTTAATATTACCTCATTAAAAGATGCATAACATGTAATTAGCTAAAATGTTGCGTACATGATGACATATTTTATTATGATATTATAATATAAAATAACGCAGACAGAGGTCAGTGAGTACTTTTGAGACTTTAAGTACATTCTTTAAATCATACTACTATTTGAATGCCGGACTTTTACATGTAATGACATATTTTTGCACTGTGGTATTACTATTTTAACTTTACTGAAGACAAACAACGTCTTTCACTGCTAACTGTACAGTATAATTTTTACAGTTTCATAAATAGATTAGATCTTTTCTGCAGTCTGTATTGTTAGTCAAAAAAAACTACATGTTCTTCTCACAAATTTTCCGGGTGTTTTCTGAGAACATGTTTCATTGGTGTGTCCAGCAATGAACTATAGCCACAACCCAGTGGGACAAACCCATTAAATAATTATTAAAGTTATGGATTATAACAATTGGTGTCTATAACTTCTATGAGGTATGACAAACCTACACAGTAAATAGTAGGAGTTTTTGACTGTGGGAAACAAACACAGATTGTGTCTCTCAGACTCACCACTCTGGGATCTGCGCTCTTCTCCAGCAAGGGAATAAGGCTCTTGGTGAGAATGTAAACCCCTAGAAGGCAATGAAAAAAAAAAATCATCATTCCTATCTTTCTTTCTCATTAGTGTTTTCTTCACACCTCACATCTGACCTGTGACTCACCAAGGACGTTGGTGGCGAAGCTCTTCTCAAGCCCCTCAGCGTTCACATCCCTCTGACTCATGATAGCGCCGGCGTTATTGATCTACACAGAGCCAATCAGTTTTATGACTTACACATTGCCATATATTTCCAAATATAAAAAATAGATAACTTGTGTTACTCACCAGTACATTAAGGGCCTTGTACTTTTTCTTGAACGCTTCAGCAAACTCACCAACCTTCTTGGTCTCAGACAGGTCCAGGATGTGTACATAGACCTCCTGTAATGACACCAGCCATTTTGAATAAGGAATAATGTCACGTCTGGGGAGCCAGGCCAGTGTCCAGTGTGTTGAGAAGTGAGCCATACTGTACTTTATTTCCTGACTCCTTGACGATATCTGCCCTCGCCTCCTCTGCCTTGTCCTTGTTCCTGCACACCATGTGGACCGTTCCGCCTGTGACAAAGATGGGATTACCATCATTCTTTACCAGACAAGGAAAACAGAATCTGTTGTTGTTTGTGTTTTCAAGGGTAGTAGAAGAGTGTTGGATTTACTGTCAACTTTGTCTGACACGTCCAGCGTTATACCGTCTTCGTAGGAGCTGCAGGGGTGCACTGTTCCTGCTAGTTCACTACCACGTTACCACAGTACACACAATATCCAAAATTTTTGGGGCACATTTCTGATATTGAGTTAGGGTTAGGGGTTCCCTATTCCACACCATTTTGAAATCTCTGTCTTTTGTGATGGTACAAAGGAAAGTTTTGTCAACATACCTGATAGATTATTGGGATTTAAATACATTTTAATTTACAGATTAAAGGGAAATGTGCATGAGCTAATGTTTTTTAACTGGATGCCCTGAATATTGAACTACTCTATTGTAGTGTAGTGTTTATTGAGTAGTTGGTGAAAAGTCATAAAGGACAAGAACAATTGCTGTGAAAGATTTTAAAGTTTTATGGGTAGGGTTCAAATGGCTAAGGGGGCAGCTGTGGCTCAGGAGGTCAGCGGTTCAATCCCCGGCTCCTCCAGCCTGCGTGTAGAAGTGTCCTTGGGCAAGATACTGAACCCCGAATTGGCCCTGGTGGCTGTTCCACCAGTGTATGAATGTGTGTGAATGTTAGTTTCTGTTTGAGCACTTAGGCTCAGTGTATGAATGTGTGTGAGTTCAATGTAGTGTAAAAGCGCTTTTGAGTGTTCGAAAAAGACTAGAAAGGCGCTATACGGAGCATTTATATCTTTCTTTCTTTTCTTTCTAATAATGGTAGCACTAAGAATAACTTTTACAATGCATCCCCACACATGTTTTGTGTTTGTCTTTGTATATGAGTTTATTTGCTGATAAAAGGGTTGGTACCTTTCTTAGCGATGGCCATGGCAGTGGCTTTTCCAATGCCACTGTTGGCTCCTGTTATCATGAAGGCGCGACCAGCCACGGACACCTCCAGGTCCTTCTCCACAAACCTCTTGGAGGCTGACAGGAAGGCATTCCTGCAGGACATTTACTGCATTAATTCACGTCAGCAAACTTTATCTGCACATCCTTTTATTCACTGTATGGCTCTGCCTCATGTATGAGACTTAATAAACTGAGATTCAAGGGGTCAAAATGGGATTCAGTGCAGAGCAATAGCAATAAATAATAAAATAAAAGCAGGATTGAAAGAGAAAGTGTATGTGAGTGTGTGTGTGTGTGTGTGTGTGTGTGTGTGTGTGTGTGTGTGTGTATTCAGGTCAGAAAGGGTCAGTGTTCGAGGTGCGCCTGGTTACTGTACGTCTCTTCACAGCTTCACTGTACAGATACAATGAAGACGAGAGTGTGCCTGGCATCATCTCTGATGAGAAGGGGTTTGGGGTGAGACTACCGACAGTGACAACAGGATCGGTGTGTGTGTGTGTGAGCGTGTGTGGCACCAAGGACTTCAATTCCCCCCATTGTCCTGGATGCCATTGTTGAGGGCGGCTGAAGGAGGGGGATAAAGGGGACAGGGAGGTGGGTAATACTGAGGCTAAATGCCTGCTCTGTTCGATGGTGTCATGCAGAGAGCTATTAGTGCAGGGTCAGAGCGGGTTGCCGGGCAGCTCTCTGGCAGAAAAGATAACACAGAACAAAGGGGAGATGGGAAACAATCACAAAAGCACCTCTTCTGACAACTTGGCTTGCTGTACACTGATGAGGAAAGGCGCTGCAACAGATCAGATTGCAAGACTGATAAAGCATTTAGAGCCCCGTTATGGTTTGACAACTGACTTATGGTCTTACATGGCTCCTGCTGAGTCACTGTAAACTTTACTCAATTTGTAAATCAAGGATTTTCAAAGATGCGCTGCAGTCCCATTCTGTGATGCATCAGTGGCCATTGAAAGGTCAGTAAACTAAAACCTGACAGTGTTCATCAATTTTATCAATCAAATCAATTTTCACCAATACAAGAAGATATAGGTAAATCTTTCTCTTTCAAAGATCCAGCCCTTACATATCCTTTGACCTAACCTAACCTCATAGAACCTGTATACTGTATTTAGATCCTACTTACAATTACAGCTGCAAATAATAATCATTTCATTAGAGATTCCTCTGGTAATTCATTTCTTGATTAAACGATTCATCATTTGATCTGTTAAATGTCAGGAAATAGTGAATAAGGTCGATCACAATTTCCGCAAGCCCAAAGTGACATCTTCAGATGTTTTGTTTTGTTTCACCAAGAGTCCAAACATACTCAGTTGAATGCTATAAAACATAGAAAAGCAGCAAATCCTTGAAGATGGAATCAGTAAATATTTGGCAACTCTGCTCAAATAATGTCTCAATTATCAGATAGTTGCTGATTCAAGACCTGTTGCACCACTAATTGATAAATCGACTACTCATTTCAACTCTACTTGCCATGGCTTTAACTTTCATAGGAACGTTTTTCAAAACTTGAAGGTCTTGAAATGAAAATACCTGACAGTTGGGTTGTCTTTGTTTCTATTCAATTCTATCTATCTATCTATCTATCTACCTATCTATCTATCTATCTATATTATATATATATACGATCTAGAATTTTCCCACAAGAAGCAATATTTTCAAATAACTTTTTAGATACCTCAAGAGTCTAAACAGTCTAGTCTGTTCCATTACATCAATTGCTGCAATACAACAAAACTGCAATAAAATGAGGAAAAGATATGCAAAGAGCAGAAAAATACATTTAACGTTAGTTTAATATTAGGCAATGTTATTAGCGGTTACCCCATTCAATATTAAATCGCTACATATGTGTTCTTGAATTATACTGTGCACATGATAAGCTTTTGATGCATTATTTGCACTGCTCCCGCAAAGTTATTACTGTGAACTTATCTAAATAATAACTAAATTGCCCCCCCCCCAAACACACGCACACATAGGCCCGCTGGGGAGGATTCACACAGGACACAGCAGTAGGTCAGAGACTCACTAACTATAGTAATGTGTCAGCAGTATTCGGGGCAGATGGAGACATCTTACCTGGTGAACTCGGTCACTCCCTTCAGGAACCAGGCGGAGTTGCGGTACAGAGACATGGTGCTGCTCTGGAAGCCTCTCGCTGCGCTGAGCTCTCCCCTGCGCTTTTACCCTGGACCAAAACCACGTGTAGCTCCACTGAATTAACATCAGCGGGCGACAGCTCCACCGGCCACCCAGTGGCCAGAGGGACGCATTAGTTCAGTTGAGCAGTGTTATTTAACCTACAGACAGACATAAACATATAAATTTCCCATGTGTGTTCCTGTTGACTTTCTTTAGTCAGTGCGTGGTTGGAGACTCAAAGTGAATTTACAGTGAGCTTAACTTACCCACGCTGTACCCTCCCTGCCGGTTGATGGTAACATATTCGCTTTCTTAGGAGTTTATTATTTGGTGTTTAACTTTACATAGGCTATGTAAATACAATGGCCCGATCTTGCTCTCCTCCCAGTGGTGAATAGTAGGCCTACAAAGCTGGTAGTGCAGTAAGACATGATATATAAACACGTAAAACATAGCTGACAGAGACAGATATTGGTGCTCCATGTAAATAAAAATGCTACCTCCAGCTGATCAGCTCCCATAGTTTAAAAACATTTTATTATTGCCAATACACTGAAATTTAACTTATCTAACTATAAAACAAAATAAAGTGTGGATGTTTACGTGCGCTTAACGTTAGTCGTTTAATGTTACAGAAATGTAGGTGTGGCTTGTGCCAAAAGACAAATAAACATGTCCCTGCAGCCTGAACGGTACAGTAAATCTGAGCCACAGGCTGTCTGCTCATTGACCGCACCGCGCTGATTCACCTGTCTGGGGACAGTTAGCCCGGTTGCTCCACGGCAGCCAATCAGCCGTTGGAGCGCAGCAGGGCGCGGCTCTGACTGGTAAAGGTGTAAGCTCACTGATTTCTGGGAAGATACAACAATGTTGCGCATCTCGAAACGCACAACATGCAGTAGGATAGGACTCTGGGATTGATTTCTGGGACAGGGAAGGATTTGAACTTGGGTGACTTGTCTCGGACTGCAGACAAAATGGTGAGTACCCGAGCATGCTGGTACAGTTTTACGCATGTACCTGTTGTCAAGAAAAGGTAATAAACGCCCAAGTCAAATTTAACAAAATCTCTATAAGCGTGATCTTCCTTAGTTGTTATTGCAAATCAGTTTGGAATCTACTTCCTTGATCAAAGGTCATGTAATTGATACTGTAGCGTCCCTATTCTATTCAAGATCAGGATAATTCACACAAAAGGATGGTCAGTTTTTGCAACGCAACAACCATGTCTTCTCTGACAGGCAAATGAATGCAAATCTCCAAACGCTGGTTTCCTTTGCACAAGTTTAAATGTGCTTTTTAAAATTTAGACAATATTATCAAACAATTTAATGGATCTGCCATTTCACACAAAATAATCATATATAGTAGATTTTAATTAGGCTACCCAAATTATTCTTTATAATTGGTTGTGTTGCACCCTGTTCTTTCTTTACTGCTGCAAGCAGTGCTGCTTGCAGCTGCACCTCAGGGCAAAGGGCTCTCTTTAATTGCCCTTGCACAATGCACACATCATATTTACTGTTAGTGCACTCAAAGGTGTTATGTTTATAGGAGAGTTTTCGAGTTGTGAAATCTAATTGCTGTTGGGTGCAACCCTCAGTTATGGGTGGTTTAGTTTTAGTTGCAGGCAGCTCTGACTGTAGGTGGGGGTATTATTACTGTGTATTTGTTTTCTCGTGCATGTGTCTATGTGATTGCTTCATTGTATTTGTGTTTGTTTTTTTCTGTTGACATGCTATACATTCTATACCACATACCACATTTTACTTATATGTCTTTAGGATGTTCCTTCTGTTTGGTACTTTGCACCGCTTTCTGCAGTCATACTTAACATTGCGAGACAACAACTCCTGAACTTTTCAAAAGTCAGTGTTTTCTGTCCTTTTCCCTACTTTCTGCCCTCTCCAGATGCGCTTTCTGTTGCTGTTCAGCCGGCAGGGGAAGCTGCGACTGCAGAAATGGTTCACACCATTAACAGACCGGGAGAAGAAGAAGGTGATCCGGGACATGATGATGCTAGTGTTGGCTCGTCCACCACGTTCCTGCAACTTCCTCCAATGGAGGGACCTCAAGATTGTTTACAAGAGGTGCCCACAAGAGATGCAGCTGCTTTTTTATTTGTGTTATAATTACATTACATGCTACTTTTTCAGTGTTTTGTCATTATCAGCAGTCCTGATTAATACTTAATTAATATGCTAGTTCTGTAACAACACTTTTAAGTTTAATTCAAGGACTTTCAGTCTTTCATTCAGGCACATGTGCTTGTAATGTTCCATAGTTTTCTTCACAACAGTGTGGCAACCATTGCTGTAACATGGGACCTTTATCTTCTTCAAATGCAGGTATGCCAGCCTGTATTTCTGTGCTGGTCTGGAGGACCGGGATAATGAGCTGCTGAGCCTCGAAGTGCTGCACAGATATGTTGAGTTGTTGGATAAATACTTTGGCAACGTAAGTCAGTTAAAAACATTAAATAAGCTCACTATTATATAGTTGTTTGATAGACTGTTATAGCTAGATATAAGGACATTTTAAGTGTTTACAAAAAGACTTGAACCCTGGTCTCCTATATGAAAGTCCTGTGTTTGTTTATTGCCTTTATTGGCATGACTGCATACAATACAATGTTGCCAAAGCATAGTAACACAAACTATACAATAATAATAAACAAAATAAACAGTTATAATAATAATAATAATAATAATAATCATCATCATCATCATCATAATACATTTTGTGGCTGAGAGATTTACCTGGCAGGTGATAGGCTTAAATGTAATGGACGCTCATTTAGAGTATAGAAAATCTACCGGCCAGACAAGCCAAGACAGTATTTTGATACATTAGCAATTCTTCCATGTTAGCAAGCAAGCAAACGTTAGCTAACATGATCCAGCTAAAACCACAATAACACAATATAGGCTATTTCACACTCTGTGTTGTGGTGGGACATTTTCTTGACGTTATCGGACTTTATCTCTAAGCTAACGTTAGCTAGTGTTGCGCACTGTTGGGAGACTTGCAGTCCTCCCTCCTGCAAGTTATGTGAGCCAATGTGGTTTGAGATTTAATTCTTTAACGGCCCTGGTTTGGGCATGAGTAGTAGGGTTCCGCTGTATATGAAGTATGCTACGTAAACTAACACTTATTTCCCTGTAACGGTCCACCAAAATCTGTTTCTGAACAAATTTTAGGTGAGAAATAAGCAAACCATTTGCTGAAAGTTTGTTCCAACTTTTGTAAGGCTACACTACTGTACTGCCAGTTGCCACTGCCAACCTATTAGCTCACTACTATAACTTCCCACAGAGGTCAGTGAGTTAGTTAACCTGTCCTGCGGTAGCTCATTAGCCGCCGGCTTCTAGTTTTCCAACAAATGCTGTTCAAATAAACTTACGACATGTGATCAGCAACTTTTATATTACTAATATGGCATACGGTTTTCTCTCTATTTTTTCCTGCTCATTATTATTATCATGATTGTATGATGCAGTTGGAGCCTTTTGACTGTAGGAGAGCGGAAGAAAAGGCCCTCAGGAGCCTGCATTAACATCTCATCACAGAAACAGGAAAGGGCCACAAAGATGGAAGCACACTGTATGCCGTAGTATATGATTAGAGCTCTATAACAGCTGTGACAAGGGCACTGTAAAAAGGAAAGGAACAGAAAACAATGAGGTTTCTATCAGTGTTCTCAATATTTAACACACTTCTTCACAATAATTTATAGGTCAAAGGTTATACAGTCTCTGCAGGTGTTCAACAAACTCCTTTTCCATTCGCCCTGACTATGCACACAGACATGTCACTGTGCTCTTTACCAGTCCGACTCCCCCTGGTGCCCATAATGTGCTTCTGCTCCAGAACCACTTGAAGTATACCCAGCCTGTGTTGATTTACAAAACAAGGCGAGAGCCACGCCTTCTTATTAACAAAAACTCAAATAATAAAACTGAAACTTGAAGAGCAGATGGAAAAGGGAGGGATGTGAAAAAGAAGCTCTTCATAATTATCTTAAAGATCTCAGTCTGCTTAATGAACTTGCCATTTCTGTACTCTTAATACATACTCTTATAATATTCAATTAGAGCCTGGTCATCTATACTAGTACAGCAGTTGTTTATCATCTTCTCTCCTGGGTGAAATTACCCCACATACCACTGATCAAGTAGATAGATAGTATATTATTCTATTTCAGGTGTGTGAGTTGGATATCATTTTCAACTTTGAGAAGGCTTACTTCATCCTGGATGAATTCCTGATGGAAGGAGAAATTCTTGAAACGTCCAAAGTAGCTGTGGGTGTATCTATGGAGGAGGCTGACAAACTCCAAGAGGTACTTTAAGGTTCAACAGACTTTTAGTGAACGTAGGCCTTTCTTGTTACTCATACAAACTGTGTTTTAATATCCCTGCTCTTATCACAGACAATGGAAGAATACATGAGCAAACCTGCCTACTGAGCCAAGAGAAGACGAGGGTGGCTCACATTTGAAGACTTGAAGTAAAAGGCGTATTACTCTGCATTATTAGTGGCTAATAATCACTCATTTGGCATAATGCTGTGGTCATACAATAACCACAATCTCATGTTTCTAATCAAGTTTTAAGATCTGTAATAGTGTTTGCATCTATGAGTGCCTTTTAATCCTCATATTTATCTCAGGGGTTTTTATAACAACAGATATGACTGGAAAGAGTCTTTTTTCCAGTTTATCTAATACACTTTAATATTTAAATATGTGTCGGAATGGAATGCATCATGTGATGGTGAGTAAATGAAGAAACACTACACAGTAAGGAAAAAATAAAGTCAATGCTTTATTAACCTCAGATATGTCACATATGACCACATTTAAGAAAGAATTACCAAAAAACACAAGTGAATCTACAGGATCCAACACTGATTTTGGTTGTGTGTGCATTGGAATGTAAGGCTGGTGAGTCACATGTACTGGTTATTAAGTGTTGTTGGGCAAAAAACTCATTTAAAAAAAGCATCAAATGAATGTCTGAACACTCATGTTTCTGCTAATAAATAAGAACTTTTGTAAACCTACAGAATAACTAAAGTTGACAGCGTTTTTTATTCTTCAAAATACTTTATTTTCACCCTCTCCCTCCACCAACATAATATATATCTACAGCCTTCTTTATATTCCTTGGGCAGTTTTGGCATCAGTATCACTTTCTTCCATTTCTGGGTTCAGGTAGCTCAGCAATTTCATCACCGCCTCATTATCAAAACCTTGCGTTTGAGTGTCGTCACCCCTCTCATCATCCTCCGACTGTCGCTTTTCATTTGGCTTTTTATCTGAGTCCATGCGATCAAAATAATCCTGTATCGCCTGTTCAAAAGAGCCCATCACGCTCTGTGCAACCCCGTCCCGCTTTTGGCTGGCCCTGTTGTTGTTACTGTACACGGGGTTTGGATACTGTGCCAGCATCTGAGCTGCTAGATACGCTGCCAGTTCATCCTCATCCACGGTGTCGTCATAGTCGTTCTTTAATGTGCTGGGAAGGCGCCGTTGCGTGGGAGCGGATTCCCCCAAACGCCCCGCAGGCTGAGTGTGAAGTCGTGACAGCGGGCTTTTGTACTGCTTCTGCTTCCTGACAGGAGCTCGATCCTCCGCGCCCCCTAACCCAAGGATGTTTAGTATCTCTTCTGTCCTTAGCTCTTCTGGGGTCTTTTGTCTATCAGGAAAGCGTCTGTTGTAGAATTTAGCTTCAGGAATCGTGTGTGTCTTCTTTGAGGATATCTGAGAGAGCTTGTTTTCTGTTCTGGCTAAACTGTTGCTCTTTCGCGACTTGTCTTGATTTGTCGTTTCTCCAGTTTTCAACATATCCACCAGGTCTTCAGGTGGAATCTGGTATTTTCGGGAGATCTGAATGAGCTGGTAGATGGCCTGTGGCTCTATGTTGTCTCTATACTGTGTCTGAGACGCTCTCCTCTCAGCCCTCTTTTTCTCCTCTTCCTCTATCTCTCGTTTCTGCTCTTCTTCCTCCGTCTTCTCTAGCACTCGCAGAAGGTAATAGTCCACCAGGTTAGCGACATCGTCTGGATCTTTTGACCTCTTGACTGGGTAGCTTTCATCATCGTACTCTTCATCATCCTCCTCCTCCTCCTCCTCGTTGTCGTCAACATAATCAAGCCCTCGGTTGGCCTCATGTTTGTCGTCCCTCGCCTCATCCTCCGCTTCTTCTTCCTGTTCTTGTAGAGGACCCCAGTCTGCGAGATCCCCGCCTACATCATCGTATGCCACATTTCTCGCATTAACCATGTCATCATCTTCCTCCTCATCGTCCTCCTCCATGTCATCCTCTTCATCTTGGCGTTTGTGCACGGTCTTCGCACTAGTCAGCTTGTCCAGTTCGTCGAACACGGACTGCAGAGTTGCCAGGTTCTGAGGCGTGTACTTCTCCTCCACATTCTCATTGGTGCGTTTGAAGGGGCTCTCGTGCTCCAGATCTGGACCCTCCTCGTCCTCTTCCTCGTCGCCCTCACCCTCTTCCTCGTCCTCAAACATCAATGGGAGTTTCTTGTGAGGCCTGATGCCGTGTTGCTTCTGCTGCACCCTGGGATACGTGTCGTCCTGTATTCCTGCTCCTTCTACGCTGGTAAGAAGTGAAGCCGGCTTGGAGGCCTTTTCTGTCTGCTGGAGGGTGCTGAGCACCGCCTGGAGCAGCTCTTCACTCTTATCCTCCCCCCTTCCCTTCTCCTCTTCCTCCTCTTCCTCCTCTTCCTCATTCTGATCTTTGCTCTGCATAGGACTAGAAGCCAGTCTCAGCATGGCACGCAGCTTCTCAGCATCATCCATCTGGCTGGCATCGTACCCTGTAGTGAGAGGGGTGTGCTGCTGGGAGTCTGTGCCGGTTTTTTGACGGAGGCTCTCGATGTACTCCAAAGCTTTGAGCATGTCAGCGTTAGGAGCCTGCTGGACATTTCCTCCTCTCTGGGGATCTGATTCACTTCCTCGCAGCCTGTGCTCTCTGAGAGAAGCCCCGTGAGCGCCAGAGGAACTGAGGAAGAGGAGGACTAAGAGGAGGTCTGCTAAACAGATGAGGAGAGGTCCGCCTGAGGTGGAAGTCTTGGGGAGTGACGGCATGGTGACGCCTGCAGAGGAAAGACAAAGATGCACATGTCAGCACTGACCTTTACACATTAAGCTAACAGGTTCACAACGGTTACTGCTCCGGTATTTCTTAAATGTCTGTTGCTCTTATAATCACTTTAAAATGTCTGGTCTGATGATCACATCACAGCCACCGGAGACATCTGTATTGATTTAAAGGCAGGAGATCACGCTTAAAATCTCACCCATTAATTTGCTCGGGTGTAAACCAGGTCAAACACGTCATATGTCAGAATTGCCTGACAAAATCCAGTTAAATAAAAATAAACCCAATTTCTTCTTTGAACTATGCTTTTCATGTTGTTAAATTCTACTATTTTTTGTCATGTTTCATGTAGCTAAAGCTAAGAGGACAGATGCAGCAAAAAGAATGAATGATTGCTGATAAGCAACTGGTGGCCAATCTTCTACTTGATAATAATAATAATAATAATAATAATAATAATAATAAATTCGGAAGTGATATAATACTGAGTTATCTGGGTAAAATATAAACCAGAGTGTTTGTATTTCTCTGTGTTCCTAGTATTTGAAGATCATACCGGAATCCTGCCGCCTCTTTGCCAGCAGCAGTAATAGCAGCGGCATTCAGCTCAAATCTCATTAGTGGTCAAATTGCTGCTCTCCGTGAGTCATGGCCCCGTTGTCAAGGTAACCCTGTGTGGCTGATGTTTCCATGAAACATTTCCTCAAACCGCTGAAAAACCTCTAAACTCAAATTATTAGGCTACTGTTCTTCAAGCTTTAACTCAAAGCTAACATTGATCTTTGAAACGAATTGTGTGATCAATTCTGCCAGTGGGCTTCTATTACACACGCGTTCAAAACACATCAAAATGTGTATTTGATGAATATCTCTTTATGGAAATGCATGCAATAGTATTAATGTTAGCCTAAGTTTTTTTTTTTTTTGGGGGGGGGGTCTTTTTCAAAAAGACGAAAAAAAGAAAAATGCCTAACTGACCGTAAGCGACGATGCACTTTTCCAGTAGCCTAATTTTTTCCAGCCTTAATTGAAATTGCTGAACTTCACTTAGTCGTTAATGCTTTTTAATCGGTGGCAGAAAAGTGGGCACTTTAGAGCAGCCCCACACTCAATTCTGAATAATCTGAAGCGAGATGAGAACAAAGAAACTGCGGTCAACACAACGCAACCTCTTCGCCTCAACATCTGTGGCGGTGCATCAGGTTGGCAAACAGCTAGTAACAGAAGACAGAAAAAAAAGAAAAGAAAGAAAAGAAAAACCCTCCATTCATTTGAAATGTGAGAGGAAACACGTTCAGAGTGGTGCGATGTAGGTCATGCGATTTCAAACCAAGTCTTACCTTTGTAATTAGTTTCCACCGAGGGTCGTGAGTGAACTGAGCATCTCTCTGTCTCGCAGTGTGAGTCTGGTTTCAGCACCGCGGACAGCTCTTCATGCTATATGAGGAACCACCTGACTCGTGCGTCAGAGAGCGAGGAGATACGCAACACACCCGCGTGTACACATACCCCCTACATAACACACACGCACGCACGCACGCGCGCACAAACACACACACACACACACACGCACACACACACGCACACATCCTCGCGCACGCTCAGTTAATTTGAGTCAGCTAATACTGCTTCTCTCTAATGAATATGAACTGAAACTAGTTGTGACCCAGTACATCTCAGCGGCTGCATAACGGCTCGTGTCGCAGCGTACGGTGAAACCAGTGAATTCATAATGGCTAATTGGGACCATTGACTGACTGATGGGCTGATAACTCTGTTTTGTCTCGGCTGTGTGCAATAACTTTAACTATCATGGGATATTTAGGCCGCTTATTAAGAAGACATGTAATGGGCGTTTTGTCAAAGATCACAAGTCGTCAGGTGGCTGAGACTGGTGGAAATAAAGCCTTCCTCTTTGCTAAATTGTTAAGCAAATGGTGTGAAATAGCTGATAGCTCAATAAATGTTTTGCTTTTCTGATTCATTTGGTTTCTTCACCGACAGTAGGCTATATGAGGCTCATAGTAATATTTCCCTCTGTAGTAGTGACTGTTGAATGGCTGTTGTCATTGACTGCTGTTGTGTCTCTGCTGCAGCACTGAGGGACGGAGACAGTTAAAAGTCCACCGATGACTCACATACGGACTCCGCCAAACTCCGAGACGGGCGGGGTGACAGGGGCTCTGCAGAGAAGTATGTGCGTGTGTGTGTTGGGGGGTGGGCAGGGGGGGAGTAAGAGAGAGAGAAAAAAGCAATAGAGAGAGCACTTTTGTCATCAGCCAGCGCACTGTGGTCTCTATTTTTGGCTGCCTGTCAAATCTTGTCTAGTGTGGATCAGTGTGTGTGTCTGTGCGTGCGTTGCAGTTTCATTCATAAATCCCCCTCCTTGATGTGCTCAGGCTATCCTCCACTGACCTGCTTGTCTGATTTTGAGGGGAGCTATCTTGTTTTCAGCTTTGTCACAGTTGCCATATATGAATAAATGTCTGTATACAGAAACACATTTCAACACACTTTGGTTTGTGACTCTGCCCACAGTGAACCAGAAACCATCTGACTGCTGAAATGCAAACATAATCCATCAAATCTGAGTGACGAAATCAGTGTGTTTGCATTTAGAACGTTTCATTAAACATCACTTTATGGCACCAGAAAAGGTTCTGAAATATTACAAAAGAACGATTTTCTGGTGCTTTGAAAACCACTGCATAGTGTGGAGAAAAAAAGAGGGATGAGTCACACAGGAACATCCTTTCAAACTCATTAAGGAACTTTAAAGGCTCAGTCCTGTCACATTCACAACATCTAGATATGGATTCACACTGAAGCACATAAAATGTTTTGTATTGATCCCTATTTTTTTTTTTTGAAGGACTGCAGCAACAGTAACCTTTATTAGTATGTAAGATGTTTAATGTTCTCATACCAGACGTTTCTGCACCAGAAGACCAAAAGAAACCAGGACAAAAGAGAGCTGATTTTAATCTCATATCTCCCTCAGCCTAATTACATTTTCCCTCATGACTAACACACATACACACCCAGTGCCAGTTTTGTACTGATAAAGCCCGAGCTGTCGGGCTAATTGCTTGTGGTTGTGCTGTGGCAGGATTACTGGTAAACAGAAACCAATTACAGCTCAGATCCACCTCCATTTCCACTGCTGGTCCACTGAAAAAAACACAAGGTTTTTTCTCAGGTCAAATGAGAAGTTTCTTCCAGGCAATTAGTAGTTTCCCCCTCTTTGCACAGCAGTGCGGTGTGACTGTTTGGGGTCACATTATTTTGTAAGATGTTGGATATGAAACTTTTCCAGCACAGGAAGTGGTACATTTACTCTCATCTAAAGTTAAACTCTTACTATGGGGAATGTAATGTAATGTGAGTTTATACTCCACTGGAATTTTTTTTTAAGTTACTGAAGCTGGAAAGTGATGTCATTAAACAGTTTTTTAAGTGTCAAAGCTCATTCTTGACTTTGGAAAGGGTAGTTTGAAAAATCAATCCCAACTCAAGGTCAGTTACTATATGTTTTGTATGGAACCATATTACATGCTCTTCATCGGCAGAAAAAATACAAACAAACAAGAAATTTAAAAAATACATGTTCATCAGTATTATAAATGCCAGTAAACAGAGCATTAGTGTTTAACTTTTAAGCCAACAGGAGAAGTTTTAAAAGTGCTATGGATGAAATGGACAAAAACCCTAACAACTGTTTTGTAGGAACTGTGACGGTACAGAGTGTAATTTTCTGGGTACATCCCCTGGTGCAGGTCTGTAATGAAATGGTGTAATAGCCCAAAGCCATTACAATCAGTAAACTGGTACATAATGCCATCATGGACTAGAGACACAATGCCACAGAAGCAATTTGCTAAGTATGGTAAAAGGTAGTTTTGTCTGTGTCTGTCTTCTGATTTGTCTCTAACATTAAGTAAAAATAAGCAACAATCAAAGTTAAAGTTTGGAGAAAAGAAACTTCTTTTTTACAACTCCAACATTCAAAAACTCAGCTAATCTGCTTCAGCAGATTTAATTGACAGCAGCTTAGCAACATACGCAAACAACCATCACATTTTAATTCAGATGTTGCTAAATGCTGATTGGTGCATGGAAGTAAGTGACATAACCTTTTTGAGCCCCACCAACTTCAAACCCCGTAAAAGAGGAAAGTAAAAAAAAAACAAAGACATATCTTATATTAAGTAACTAAAACTGTTCTAAATTTGGCAAATTTCTGAGTGTTCATGTAGCATCACATTGCTCATGGTAACAAGCTGACTGAGATGACTTTAAAACTCTTAAGGTGATGTGTTTCATTTTTAAATGAATAATTACCGATGAATCATGTTTGTGGGGTTTCATCTCATCTCCCCTTGTCTTTTCTTTCTGTGTGTTTGTCCCCCTTGCGACTGACCGGTTGCAGCCTATGTATTACTGCTGGGCTTGACAGCCCATAATTGCTGCTCCTTAACTCAGGTTGTCAGAAGCTTGGCAGGCACAATGTTGAGAAAGAGAGAGAGGGAGAGAGAGAGGGAGAGAGATTGTGAATGGGTCTACAGGGTTTGACGTCAGCCTCTTTTCTCTGGTCGATTATGTGTGTGTGTGTGTGTGTCTGGGAATAGCTGTGATGCATCAATTTTTGCTCTTTTGTGAAATGTGAGATGTGGCACCAGATTGTGGCAGAGTCTCTCCAAGGCATTTATAGCACACCAGGGCAGATATACAGAATGTTCTCCATCACATTTGTCACCTTTCCCTGAAATGATGAAAACAATGAAATCATTCAGTTCCCAAAACTGCTTGCTTACAGCCCTCACATCTGTCTACTACAGGAGACTGAATGTGTGCTACTGAGAGAGAGAGAGAAAGGGGCCAAAGGAAGAACACAAAGTGCCTGACATTTATAAAATGTTGTTTTTGTGGCACAACCATTAAAAGACCCCAGGGTGCTAATTCTGAAGTACTTTATCCAAAAACATCATTTATGTAGCTGTGCTCAAATCCATTTTCATGTTGTGTCTGATGAAAAGAAGAGGCCCACTGTAGGTAAAAATGATTTGTGTATCCACAGGAGTATGAGTCACTCGGTTTCTGATGCTTTGTGAGGAGAATACAACAGAAACAATCAGAACACTTTGGCTGTGTATGAAAATCAAAATGAAATTGGCAGGACCTTCAGCACGTACGGGAAATTAAAACAGGAACTACATGATAGGGTGGGGGGTTTGAGCAGGTAACTGAGATCTGTATCGTTACACAGATAATAGTTTAAAGCTCCAACATGTCATCTGATTAAATGTATGAATCACTAAATGTTTAAACAAGCCTAATCATGGAACCCCAAAGTGTTCAATATTACATGAACTAAAGAAGACATCAGGAATCAAATAATCATGTCAAAAATGGTGTGATAATTTAGAAAATCATTAAAACTCAACCTCATTATCATGAAATGTTCTTCAAAATGAATAGTTTGTATAGTAATTTCATTTTTCATAAAGTCCGTTGTTTTTTTCACAAGGGCACTTTTTTCCAGTTACACTTTTATTTCATAATGCTGCTTTTCATGACCACAGAGTTGTCATCAGTCATCGCCCATTTGGTTTCAACAAGTTGGGACCAGTTCAACCAAGTTTCCCTTTGTTTTAGTGTAATCATTTTTAGTCCAGCAGAAGAAACATTATTCAGTAATTTCCAAAAAAGCAAAGACCAGAGGAAAGTGTGAAAATAAGCAAAGCTCTTTTGGTTGTTTTGCTTCAGCCTCACCCTTTTAATCTTTCATCATCTCTTTGTAGAGAGAGGGATAACCTCTGATGCTCCAGTCTCTCTCCATCCTAAGTAGGCTCCACTGATTACTCAGCTGCACCCAGGATCAGTCCGCCGTTGAAACCACTCATTGCGTGACGAGACACCTACGTGGTCCCACTAGCCATTTACGTTCCCTGGTCCCTGATTCCAGACTGGAATCTTCTTTATTCATAATTGTGTCATATAAATAACTTTATTAATATTTCTATATGGTATCTAATATATCAATATTATGCTAAAAACCTGCTCCTAACAGTTCCAAACACTGGAGTTATTGTGCCTGTGTACTGTATTTATTTATGCGCTGTGTTTATTTAAGTACAGGCTGCAGCCTATACATAAATAATTCAGTGAGGGTAATAATTCAGGGATGATAATTAATTTCATTCAGAAGTGCTTTAACTTTATTTTTGGTCTAACTAATAACAGCTAACTGGCTAAATTTTAAAGCAGCTGCTGAGCTATCTTGATTAAGGAAGGCTGGGGGCACTCCACTACCAAGAAGAGTGATATTATGAAATAAAAAGTGACATTATGATGTAAAAGCGTAAATTTAATAATTGGAAAAGATGCTATTTAATGAAACTCGATGATAATATGATCTTACAATTTGATCATGTGATAATTGAATTCTTAATTCCTTAT